TTTCTCAATTTATGTAAGCAAGGCAATATGTTTGGAACCAAATCAAATGTGAGAGTGAATTTAATCAATAAATTATTACAATTTTTATATTTAAAATAAAATATAATTGAATAATTATACTGTTTGAAATTAATATCCATGAAATTGAATTAAATTAACAAACTTGACTATTTTGCTTTAAATTTAAAATTACATGGTATACTTAGTTTAATATGCCATGAAGTTAATTATTTGATTAGTCATAGTATTATTATATTTATGTAACTATATATTATTTATTATTAATAAAAACTTAATTTATCTTTACTACTCATATAATATTATATTAATTCATATAATATTTGATTTATAAATTTAGAGTAAAAATAAAGTACATGAGATAAAAAAATTTACAAATAAAATTATAAAGTTTTTATAATTATGGGATTCCTTTTGCATCAAAGCATTGTTCCTAAAATATTATTGATCGATGCTCTCTCAAATATTAGACATCTATTAGAGCCGTAGAGACTTGTACATATTATATTCTTTGAAAACATGATTAATACAAATTTTTTTTTATCAATTTAGATGTTGTAACGATGCATCTTTTACAAAAAAAGATTCATGGAGAAATACATGTGTTTATATACACACAGAGAACCATATATTTCTCATGATATCATGGTAAAGAGGACGATTGAGTTAAATTCTAGTGCTAGCAATGTGCATGAAGTAGTAGATGACAATAGTAATATTTATAGGAATATAATTACAAATGATATGAGAATGAATTAAGGTCATGCTGGTCAATATCCAATCATAGATGAAGAACCTAATGTAGATGTGATCACGTTTTTTTTTATATATTTTAAAAGACTCTGATGAACCATTATGAGATGATTTCACAAATTATAGTAAATTATCGGTCATTGCACAGGTGTTCACCTTTAAGTCAAATTATGAGTTGAGTGATGCCTGTTAAGAAAGAATTGTCCACTGGGTGATAAGCATTTTATTTGAAGAGAATAATATGAAAAAAATCTTTTATGTTGTTAAGTTTATGATGAAACCCCTCGGTCTAGGATAATAGAAAATTAACATGTGTCCAAAATTTTACATGTTGTATTACCTTAAAAATACAGAGTCAACCAAGTACATAACATATGAGTATTCTCATTATAAACCTAGAATTAGTAAGGGGATGACTCTTATCATACATAGAAAGCTTAGATACTTTATAATCATACCTAGACTGTAGAGGTTATTTATTTCACCAAAGATTATCAAGCACATGATATGGCATTAATCACATGATGTGGTGGATGGAGTGATGATACACAATTTTAATGGTGAAGCTTATAAACACTTTAATAATGTGCATCATCAATTTTAAGTGGAATTAAGAAACATACATCTTAGGTTGTATACAAATAGATTCAATCTATTCGGATTATTTGTTGCTTCTTATTCTTATTGGTCGATGATACTCACAGTTTCAAACTTTCCACTAGGGATGTGTATAGTACTAGAGTTCATGTTTTCATCTACGATCATACCCGATCCTAATAGTTCGGTTCGGAATATAGATGTTTTTCTTTGATCATCGATTGATAAGTTGAAGTAGTTATGGTTATGTAGGGCTTTAACTTATGATATATCAAGAAAAGATTTTTTTATATATTATTGATCGATGCTCTCTCAAATATTAGATATTTATTAGAGCCGTAAAAACTTGTACATATTATATTCTATGAAAACATGTTTGATATAGAAAACTTTTATCGATTTAGATGTTGTAACGATGCATCTTCTACAAAAAAAGATTCATGAAGAAATACATGTGTTTATATACACACAAAGAACCATATATTTCTCATGATATCATGGTAAAGAGGATGATTGAGTTAAATTCTAGTGCTAGCAATGTGCATGAAGTTGTAGATGACAATAGTAATATTTATAGCAATATAATTATGGATGATATGAGAAAGAATTAAGGTTATGCTGGTCAATATTTAATCATAAATGAAGAACCTAATGTAGATGTGATCACGTTTTTTTTATATATTTTAAAAGACTCTGATGAACCATTATGAGATGATTTCACAAATCATAGTAAATTATCGGTCATTGCATAAGTATTCACCATTAAATCAAATTATGAGTTGAGTGATGCCTGTCAAGAAAGAATTGTCCAATGGGTGAGAAACATTTTATTTGAAGAGAAAATATGAAAAAATCTTTTATGTTGTTAAGTTTATGATGAAACCCCTCGGTCTAGGATACTAGAAAATTAACATGTGTCCAAAATTTTACATGTTGTATTACCTTGAAAATACAGAGTCAACCAAGTGCATAACATATGAGTATTCTCATTATAAACCTAGAATTAGTAAGGGGATGACTCTTATCGTACATAGAAAACTTAGATACTTTATAATCATACCTAGACTGTAGAGGTTATTTATTTCACCAAAGATTATCAAGCACATGATATGGCATTAATCACATGATGTGGTGGATGGAGTGATGATACACAATTTTAATGGTGAAGCCTATAAACACTTTAATAATATGCATCATCAATTTTAAGTGGAATTAAGAAACATACATCTTAGGTTGTATACAAACAAATTCAATATATTCGGGTCATTTGCTGCTTCTTATTCTTGTTGGTCGATGATACTCACAGTTTCAAACTTTCCGCTAGGGATGTGTATAGTACTAGAGTTCATGTTTTCATCTACGATCATACCCGATTCTAATAGTTCGATTCGGAATATAAATGTTTTTCTTTAATCATTGATTGATAAGTTGAAGTAGTTATGGTTATCTAGGGCTTTAACTTATGATATATCAAGAAAATAATTTTTTTTTATAAAGACAACTTTAATGTGGACTATCAATGATTTTCTTACTTATGGAATGATTTCTGGTTGAAGCGTGAATAAAAACCTAGCATGCCCATATTATATAGGAAATAACAAGGGCTTCACTTTAATAAATGATGCTAAAATGTGTTTTTTTTACTATTGTTAATGGTTCTTACCAACATATCATAAGTTTAGAAAAAATAAAAAGGACTTCTTTGTTGACAAAGTTGAAAGGGATACTACACTACAACTTTTTTCAAGTTAGCAATTGTATGATGTGGTGTTAGAGGATGATAATATTGTGTTTCACTTTCAATATGGTAAATAGAAGAATTTGGTTTTAGTTTGACCCACAATTAGGTTAAGCAAAGCATTTTCTAGGAGCATTTTTATTAGAAGGTCAATCTCTTTTGCCATAACTTGATGTTATGAACATGAAAAAGAAAGTTTTTAATTTTTTTTATCACAATTATAGACGTGAAGGGGAAGACAAAAGATAACATTAAGACTATAATGAAGTTAGTTTATGTTGGGTCACGAGTTGCAAAATCCAAAGCTAGCTTCATTTTAGATAAGGAAACAAATTACTTGTCTACGAATGGCTTAAAAGTCTATATTTTCATGATGGATTTACTTGGAACATATCAATGTTAATGAATTTGGATAATTGCAAATTATATCGATTGAAAAGTCATGAATACCGCGTGTTCATGCAAACATTTATTCCATTAGTTTACTAGGATTTATTGCTAAATGAGATATGAGATGCACTCATAGAGTTCAATCATTTCTTTGGATATATACACTACAATAAGTTTTAGACACAACATATGTAAAGGTTTGAAACGTATATAATCAAGACATATACAAACATGAGATAATATTTCCTCTATTGTTTTTTGACTCGATGGAGCATGTACTCATGCATTTACCATTTGAGGTAAAAGTTAGAGGCTCGATCCAATATAGATGGATATATTCATTCAAGAGGTTAGGATTTACGAATTCGTCGTAATTAAAATATTTTTTTTTTATTTTTTTTGCATAATTCAAAACATTTGTTTAATTTTATGCAAATACTTATTTAACATTAAGAGAGAGAAACAATGTGTATGTTGAGACTTTGATATGTGAGACCTATATTGTTAAAAAGATCTCAACATTTATCTTATACTATTTCGAGACTTAATTGAGAACAAAAATTAATCGTGTTTCAAGGTATAATGATGTTGTAACTTAGCAATATTATCCCATCCTAGATGATTCATACAAAAAAAAAATATTGTGTGGGGAAGATATATGTCTAAAATAAAATTTAGACAATCACATAATTATATGCTATTTAACTACAATGAACTAAGACCTTTTACTTAGTAAGTATACTACTTAACATGTCATTATTTTTTAATAATTTATCTTCTATAATATCATAAACAAATACATTATTGAATTTCTCGAAGATAATATTGCTAATATTTACTATCTCAATACTCATAACTGACTGAATTCCAAATCTTTCGATTATAAGATGAATAATTTTCCATGTCGTTCAGTACACATGTAAGTACTGTTTAATTATTCTTATCTCGCAGGATACTTTATTTTATCACATATTTCATGTTAATTGTTCATGGTTGTACTTCATGTATCAGATTTATCAAGTGAGATAGAATGCTAGAGTTATTTTTTCTTTACTAAGTTTGGATCCTGAAAGAAAGGTGAAGTGATACAACAAGTATTTTATCAATAAACATGTGTTTCACACTAAAGAATATAGACATGGTAGAAAGACATATAATAATGAGATTTAAATGAGGTTTGTATTAAGGGATCAACTTCTAAAAAGTTTGAAGTTAACAATTATGAGAAGTTAGAAGAGATAATTAAATTGTAATATTACAGCGAACAAAATAAAATATTTTTATTGAAACATTATTGATATGACACTACTAACAGAGAAATCAAAGTATATTTCCATCATAGTAGTCAAAATTAATTCAAAGGTTAGATTCTGCAATATCAATTATATTTTTGTTGTGCCAATAAATTTATTACATATATATTCCTTTCTTAAAAAATAATCGTTCAAAAATTGATTAATTATCTGTAATAAAAATGACTCCCAAACCAGTTGGTCTTAGGGCATTAGGTGTATAACTTCTCCCATGGCTTTATAAGATCTGCAAAATTATTAACTTAGAAGAGTGGTAATAGAGAGAAATATACTACACAGCTTGCTAAAATACTCGTTTTTATCTGTCAACGGAGAACCTCTGTCCATCTCCTTGAAACCCTGCTCGCATGTATCCGAATCCGTCATTGCCGTGCTGACCAATGTGTTCATGTCATCAAAGGATCTAATCCTTAGTGCATGAATTGCCTCTTCAAGATTTTCAGTTCCCTCGATGTATTCTTCTGTGCATTCACTAAAGATACCAGAGAGTTGGGTGTCATTACCAACATTAGACTTCAAGACCTTAAGGTAGGCTAGAGTCTCACTTCCGTGGGCTATGCTAATGTTTAGTGCAATATTGGCAAGTCCTACGAGATCTGATGTTTGGCTCCGAGGATCAGATCTCAAGGCAGACACACACACTTCGAAGTAAAGGGTGTGATTGCATGTAGCAGAGATCAAGTCCCGGACTCCATCTTTTCCGGCGATTTGCAACCTTATTGAAGTGCCTAAGAAGGCTGCAGAAATTATCATGAAGATGAGAGCCAACAAAGATTGAAAGATTTTAAATGAAGCCATTGCCAAATCTATGGGACTGTGTGCGCTCTGCAAACAAGTTCGAAACAAGAGAGAGTTTGTAAGTAGTTCGAAAAGAAGGCAAGAGTCTGTACCAGGCACGTGAGATTCATGCAATATAATTATACAATCTCAGGATCCAAATTCGAGATAATTTGGCCTTTTCTTATGTCTCATTTTAATGCAATTTTGTCTCGTTTCTCGTTTGTTGAACTGGAAAATCGTTTGTTATTATTATCTTTTATTTAAGATCAAGAATGGAAATAATTTCTTTCCATCCCAATAGAGCATAATTACATTAACCTGATTTGTATGTGTGTGTGTGTGTCTATATATATGGTGAATAACATACCAAGTAAATATTTTGACAGAATTTAGATATTAAAAAATAATAATTTTTTTATAATCTTGTTTAAAGTTCAAACCTCAATAATAACATAAGAGAACAAATTAATCGCCTGGCCAATTAAACAATCTTTTCTAGTTGTCATTTCTTTGTTGCCTTCATTTGTATGGAAAAATATTGTGAAAGCTGCATATTCTACATAATCACAGTGCATTAGAAATAAATTAATTCTGATAAACATTTGTTAAACCTTTGGTCACGGCCTGCAGACAAATTATCCTAAAGAACAAAAACAAACGGTGTGCCAACAGAAAAACTCTTAGGAGGTTAAAATTGGACTGGCCAGTCTAGTTCGACTGGCTTTTCTTTCGCAACTGGACAATCGAGACTTTGGTATTAAGAGATTCAAAGACAAAACGACAAATTGCTGCCCCGAGTAGTTATGAACCCAATTCTCAATGAAGTCCCCAGACAAAAGGTTTTCTCAATTGAGTCCTTAGGTTGTTCCATGTTGGTAATTTTAATAACTTAATATGTTATCTCTTCGCATACAATTTAATTAATGGCATTGACACAAACATCCAAAAGTCCGTTAAATACTATATAACTTTTGTTGTTTAAATTTTGATGGTATATTAAAATTTGGTTTAAGTATATTTAATTTGCTTCAAATTTATTTAATATTTAATACTAAGATAACACACATTAATTTAATATATTAAAGTATGTATATTTATTTAATACATATAAATTTTAAGGATAAAAAACTATAACCTCAGGGCAAAACATACATAGAAAAATAATATAGAAGATATCTTAAATAGATACTTTGTTGAAACACTTAAAATGTAAAAAAATATATTTTATGTTAAGGATTATATCATTTGACTTTAAGGTTTAATTGTGTGTCATTTAGTGCAAACAAATTAATTGTAATTAGCTTCCTATAATTCTATCAACACCAAATTGATTAGTTACACTACTAATCGCCAATCAATGTTCACAAACCAGGAATACAAATAAAATTGTTTTTTAAAAAATAAACTTGAGCTCGACAATGATAAAAAAAAAATATAGTAGAAAATGTTGGAAAGAAGTTAGAAGATGTATTTCATATTTGTGCAGAACATCTCTTCAACCTTTTTTGTATAGATTACATAACAAAAATTAATACATAATTAATTTTGATGATTAATAGAATTAATTCATGCTATTTTGTCTTAATTATTGGTCATAAAAAGACAAAATAATTATATTTTTTCGCTTTCAAAACTAGATGTTTTTTCCTTTGATAATAAACAATTCAGGAAGTCAAAAGTTATTATTGAAACTATTGGAATGATAATTGTTTTATAAGCAAAACAATATTTTACAACAAACTCAAGCAAAAGACTTGTGTCCCTAGCCATGTTATGCAAGTATCCACTATTTCATTTAAGTTCAAAACTCATTTTGTGTAAGTCATTTCCCCTCTAAAAGCTTTGGTCCCTAACAAACCCACTTTTAACTCTTTAATCTTTTGATATCTAAGTGATACGACTAAAAGATTGATATCTTCTCCCAAATGCAGGAGTGTCGAAGTAATAAATAACCCAGCAAGACCAAGGTCGAACCACAGGGAGGTCAATTATACAAATTATAAATAACAATAATATAACAACAATAATAACAACAACAGCAATAATAATAATAGTAATAACAACAACAACAATAATAATAATAATAATAATAATAATAATAATAATAAAGAAAAAGAAGGAGAAGAAGATGATGATGATGAGAACTTTGAAATATAATATTAATGAAAGGATTAAACAATGATAATAACAAATGTCAAGGTTAGAGGATCTACTAATGGTATGTCAAACAAGTATAGTATAAACTCTTATTATTCAATTAGAAACCATACACAAAGGAGGTTCCAATTTGATTATAAATTGTTAACATGATTTCATTAGTCATCTTATTCAATTAATGCTAATACTTGTAAATCTCGTCAAGCATTCATGATTATAACTTATGTTAACAACAAATCAAGTTCCTTTCATAGCTCAGGTGTCGGTTATACCATACAGTATGGGCTATGAAAGTGTCAAGCATTTGTTGTACCAAGTGTTATATAACATAAATCAAGATTAGTCATTTAAAAAGCAAAGTATTAAAGAGTGAACAAGATAAGAAATACAAAACATGTTAGTATCAAACATTAAAGTCCATATGAAGTTTACACTATACTTATTCTTACACCATTAGTGTAACCTTTTCACCTTGACATAATAAACTTAGCTAGACATAATGAAAGAAAGAAAAATAAATAAACAAAATAAGAACATAAATAAGATAAAAGTTAACTAAGTAAAGGAAAGGAAAGGAAAGGCATAAACTTGATATTAATGAAAACAAAGCATAAGCATTACAAAAAATACAAAGAGCGAAAGTAAAAGCATGATCTTGATCTAAAAACCAAGATGCCTAAATGCATGGCAAATACCTCCTTTTATAGGCCAAAATTGAGAACTATTAATTTGATAACTAATTAATGAGTAGGTGGCCAACTTTTGACTTAGTGACAATCCTTATCTTTTTTTGTCTGCCCAAAACGTCATTGATAACATCAAAATTGGAGCCACTTGAAAACATAAAAGTTGTAGGAAATTGTCTCAGCTTTCTTGTGTAAACAATTCAGCTCATTTGGACTTCTAGAACTCTAGATATGGCCAAAATACTGAACAGTGCTTGGGCTGGAGGACAGATTCGAACTTCTTTGTTGTTGCTACAATTTGGACTTGAAAATGGCATTTTTAGATCTTGGGCTCCATATGAAAGTTGTAGGCTTATATCTTACCTTTCCATCCATATAAAGTATACTTAAATCTGAGATCTATAACTCTAGATATGATCCAATTACCGAACAGTGTTCCAGTTTTGATTGCACCGACATCTCTTTTCTAAGTTGGGCCATCTCTTTGTCCTTCCAATTTCAGTTCTTAAATTCATCAATCAATCCTTTCATTTATGTGATAGGCCTGCATTTAAAATGAACATTTAGCATAAATTAAAGGTATCTTATATTATTAGATATATTATTATAAAACATGCTTTAGTTAAGGAGTTATTGATACTTCAAGTGTAAAATGATGATATAAAACCTTGATAAAAATACACTTTTAAGTATAAATCACACCCCCCAACTAGTTTATTACTAGTCCCTAGTAATCAAAGCGTTAAAATAGAAAAATACTTTACAAATTCCACAAAGCAAGGTAGTCATCATTTAACTTCCATTAATCTATCCAGATAAACAAACTCTCATTAAATTTATATACTTACTCAATACCTCTTAACAAGATATTCATAAACCTTTGTTTTGTGCTCAATGTATCAACACATAATTATAGGGCTTTTCTTGGAAGAAAACAATTTTTTTGTTCTAATGTTTAAGGTTAACTTTCTTGGGTTGTGATTATTATTTTTTGTCTTTTTTTTTTAATATATATACATATGATTTAAAACACCATGCATCTTTAACCCATGTAACGAGCTTTCAGCTAATGACTCCCAGACCAGTTGGTCTTAGGGTATTAGGTTTTAAGACACCCCTACGAGCTTAGTAACTCGGGTCGCAGATACTGATATGTAGATAGTGCAATGTTTGATTCCCTTAAGCTTTTCTCCTCAACCCATGTAACAAGTGTTGAGCCAATAACTCCCAAGTCAGTTGATTTTAGGGTATTAGGTGTTAAAACACCCCTTCGGGCTTAATTACTTAGGTTAGGGAGGCTACGAAACCAAACTTATCTATATTTTTATTATTATCATTTTTTTCTTTTTTCTTTTTTCTTTTTTTTTTAATTATATACTATCCATTTCCCTTAGTTGTTACCTTTAACAAAAGAACATAAATAATGTAATAATCCAATATGCAACCCATAATCATATGCTTAAAGTGTGTGGGTGTAAATTAAGGTTTAAGAATACATGTTAAATAAGTATATAAGCATAATTAAGTGATAATAATGCGAGAGTTTGTAAATCTGAATATTTCAAGAAGTATTATGATAGGCCTTGTTACGAATGATTACTAAGATGGCAGAGCTCTCAGTATTTTTCAAGAGGAATGAGATGGTAGTATCATTGAATAATTTAGCACATGCTTTATGAAATAGAAAACATAGTTTTTTTTTTTTTAACTACTACCCTCTCCCCCCAACTAAACCGAAGCATTGTCCTCAATGTTTAAAGGTAGAAAGATAGAGTACAGAAGATATCACCTGAAATAACAAAAACTGACAAACCTGAAACACATTAAAACAAATATAAAAACAACAAAACACAATAATAAAACCAAAAGACACAAAGATTCACAAATAAAGGCTCAAATCCAATCTAAGCTTTTTACGACTTTTCTTAGTTGACCAATTTATGCAACTCATGGAAGGATCAATTACAGGAATGAAAGATTGTAGTTGGTCAATCAATTATTCAGCAGTAGCAGCAGAGATTATGATTTGTCGTGCAGAAGATGTTAGAAATTCTTGTTCCACAGCATGATCAAGAAAAGACAACAACTTATCATAATAACCATTAACATATAACAAACCTATGAGTTTGTGGTGAATGTGCAGTTGGGCCTAAGAGGAAATATGAAAAATCTCTT